TTGCCCCTGTTTGGACACATTGGGATGTCAGGTATGGACCTAATTTCCGTGTGAACACAGTGAGGTGCAGCCATGAAGGCAATCAGAGGATCAATATCGGAGATAATGCTGGAGTTTGTCTGAACTGAACAGCCTCTGCATCTGTCGAAAGAGCTCAACAAACAGAGACATGGTAAAGCATGGGTACATGTTTGAAATATGGAGACAGCTTCGTACCAGAAAGGATTTCAAGACTGATGTCAAGTTGGCTAATTTCTCCTGAACAGGTCAGCACTGAGCTTCAGATAAGGTTATTTGGCTACCACTGTCACACTAACACTCTTTATTCAGACTAAATCAGACGTTGAGTAGCTCAGGGTGGTGTGGCGGTGTGTGGCTGTTTATTTTTGCTGAAAATAACTGCTGTGAAACAGTCAGAAAATAACGTTTCTCTCATTCACTTTCTGCTGCTACCAGTGCTCCCTCTACTGATTCATTGTCTATGCCGCTCAACCAAACAAACAAACCGGAGGAAACTTCTGGGTATCGCTGTTTTGTCAGACAGACGTGTACACGAAATAAACAAAGCAAGGATATTATAGTTTGGTCCATGAACTCCAGCTGATATCCAGTTTCACTCATATTTCATGCAGACTGCGGAGCAGTTTGACTACTATCTGGCTAATGCGATCTGTCTATAACGTTACATTAAACGAATACTGACGTCCAAATCGAGTACTCGAATAACTTTACCTATGCCCGCCCCTAACTAACAAACTATCTATCTTTCTTATCTAATGGAAAACCTATGTAATGTACAGTGTACAGACCAGCTGTTTTTAGTCAGTGATTTTGTAGATATATGCAACAACAAATATATTTATTCATCAGACAGTTTGTGATAAACTCAGACAGAATGATCAACTTTATGGCAGCTCTGATTGGTTGTTTTCGTTCAGGCCCGGTAGATTCTTGCAAATACCATTAGGAGCACTAGGAGGAGCCAGAGGAACTTGATTGTGTCAGATTATTTGTCGTATGTACTACTGTCAGGATATGATTCCACTAGATTCCTGTATGAATTTGTACAGTGTAGTTTCACTATAATTTCACATCTTTGAACCTGTAACATGGTCAAAAATACTGAAAGTCTGTGGAAGTTTACATCAGGTTTTGTTTCAAGCAGGAGCTTTTTTCCTTGCTTGCTTGTTGACAGCTGATTGGTTGTGTGTTTCCATGGAGATGACAGGACGGGACCCCAAGAGGAGGTTCAACTGGAATAAAAGCCAGAGATTGTTTATGATGGAGAGTAGAGTGGCAGCTGGCCCCAACTCAAAGCTTTTTATCACACGCCACACACATGCAGAAGCTTTCTCCTCTTCCTCTGCGAGCACATCAGTTGGAGTTAGAATGAGTGTGTAAGCTGACTGCTGCGGACTCTCTCAGCCAGGATAATGATGGAGTTGGAGGTGGTGCTCAGGCTGCTCCTCCTGCTCTGCTTCTTGACTCTGCACTGCTCGGCCATCGAGACCGGTAAGTCTTTAGCCAGCGGATACACCATTTACACCATCTATATATGTTTAAGCTCAACTGCTTTCAACAACACAAACACAATTTTTTTTTTTTTTTTTTTTACAAAAAAGCTCCTCTATGTTTTAAATGTGTCAATATAATCTGTTCTAATAGAAATATGAAACTTTTTTTTTTTTAATCAGAGGTGGAGAATTGCAAGGTCCTGAAAAAAATCTTTTATGAAAAAATCAACCTCTATGAATTTAAATTTTAACCATCAGTGTCTGTAATACATATAAACAGGTACACACAATTGTATATACAGCAGTCATTCAGATTTTAATCCTCAACATGTTTATTTTTATTTTTTATATATATAACTTGCCTTGAATTTGTCTCTACAGCGACACAAGGTATTTACACCTAAAGCTGCAGTAATGTTAATTTATTTTCAAAATGTAGGGGGGGTAAATTAAAATGACAATTTTTATATGGTATGAAGTAATATTTAAATGAAACAATTTCTTTTGAAATAATAACAGAATGTAATTGAAATATCTCATTTTACATATCTCAGCATTGAGTCCACTGTTGTTGGACATAAACAAAAATGGTGCTTGGACCCATAAAATGCTTCATTAACATTATGAAAAATATACATTAAAACTGTTTTTATACACAGTATTCTGTAATGATACGCTACTCTACTCTATTGTGTTCACTATACTTCACACTTTTGATGACCATTTTGAATGTTTTTTTACAGGTTTTTCGGTGTATGTTTCTGTAGTTCTATGCAGGCATTGGTTTCCATTGTTTTCTGTATAGTACAGCTGACTCAAACTTCCTTTAGTTGTATAATCAATCATATTAAATACCAAGTTACATCCTTGTTTTGTCATAATGCAGTTTAAATTCTGACTGAAAAAAGTCTTCACCACATTAGTCAATAAAAATGAATGCAGGCTTGGTGTTCACTGTGGCGGACCACGCCACTCAAGCAAGTTCCATATGATCAGGAAATGTATCAACAATCCAGTTTCTGTAGTTTTTATGTTGAGTTAGCTCTCTCTTTAATATCTAGCTTGTATGAGACCATTGTGGACAATGCTGCAAATCAGTGAGCAGTACTGTTTTATGTTAGAGCTGTTGCATCCATGTGATGACGTTCAGCAATTGTTGAATTATTTTGTCTATATACAATGTCTCCAATTTGTCTAAAGCATTCATATCATGATACATATCGATATTGTGATATAAAATTGCATATATTGTAATACATTTCCATGTGACCCACCCCTGCTGCAGCCCCATCAGACCAGTTTATTCATGTTTATTCAGTGTTCTGTTTACATACCTTGTTTGGCATGAAGTAGGACAGGTCAGTTTGAATTCATATAATGGAAGCTTGTGTTGAGTCACTAGTGTTAGGACAACACATGGGTGGACAGTGAAGCTGCTGCCCTTTCCACACAATGCTGTCTCGGAAACATTTCTCACTACAGTGTGTCACCCAGGACCTTGGCCCCCACCTGCCCCCTGCGTTTGCGCTCTAAAATGGACTCCATTTACAATGATAGTGTTAAAAAAGAGTTGAATTTTCAGCCTGCAAAAATCTTTACTGGGGACTCAGTGTCCTCTGGTCACCCGTGTTTTGGACAGTGTCCCCTAAAGCTTTGTATTTACTAATGCGGTGCAGAGGGGATGAGCTGTTTCCCACCAACAGGGGCTCACAGGCTTTGAGACATTCCTGGAGGTCAGTGCGGGAGGATCTAGTTGTCTCCCAGGGAAACAGAGCTAATAAACTCCAGGGGTGGTCGTAAATTTTCTCATTATTTGGCCTGCAGCCCAGAGGCAAGGGGTGGCTGGGTGGCTGGGTGGTTGGGTGGGGGCTGCTGGATCCGGATCTGCCCACCCATCTGTCCTGGTCCTTCCTGTGTATGAGCAGTGAGCTGCCTCCCAAATGATCAATAGGCTGATCACATCATGGCTGAATTAGCAGACCAGGTTTAGCATGATGTGTGTGTGTTGAAGACAAACTTTATTAACTCTCAGCTTCTTCTATAGCATTGCTGGAATTTCCCTCTTTAAAGGCTATTAAGCTATTGTTAATCCTTGGGAACAAATGACAAACCTGTCAAAGTAAGTCCACTAACAGTTCTGGTTGCCACTAACAGACTCAGATTGTTAATCTCAGTGTCTGAGAACATTATGGAAAGGATCGCTAAAGAGATAGACCTTTAGTTTGCCCAGAAACAGCCATAATATCACTATCACTCTCCACCAGACTCCATAGACAAAAACTGCAATTTTACCTCACATATTATCGTAATATCGTAACTTCATTCAAAGTGGTCAGAAACAAAATAAAACTCACCAAAACTGTCTTTATTAGCCTTTGCACTGTTCCAATAATCACCAACTCTGCTTTGATGGCAATAAACCCTTAATTCACTGAGTAAGATGTTAAAATATTTTCTGAAAAGGGATCCAATGAACAGTTATCCTCCTACATCTACTAAAAGTTCTTGTTGTTGCCACTGTCAGGCTCAGATTGTTAGATTGTTGTCTGAAAACTACCCCTACAGAGATAGAAATAAGGCTCCTGTTTATGTCCATTTGAAGTTTCATTTCATTACAGACACACTCCATGTACCAGTTTGTCTCTGAGGATTCTGTCTCTGGTGTCCTTTCCTTGTCAGTGAACGTAGTGGACTTCTGTGGCCAAACAATCCGGGGTGACAGCATGATCGTCAACTCGCACCAGGAATCCAAGAAGTACTACTTTGTGACCATGGGGACTGACTGCCACCTCACTATGCAGGCCAGCTCCCCTAAAGACAAGGTCCAGTTCCACTTCCGCTTTTTCCTGGTCTACAGTTTGCTACGAGTGGCCCCTTTGAGTCCTTCCCCTGTCTTCCCAGAGTCCCCTCGTGGCTCCGCCCCTCTCAACCCCAGACTGGAGCCCACCTCTGGTGAAAGTTCGGGGGACCCGTGTCATGCAGGCTCTTACGTTCAGTTCTATGATGGACGGGACAGGAGCTCACCTCCCCTTGGGCCGCCTCTTTGCGGGAAGAGCCCACCCCGACCAGTGCTGTCCACAGGAAACTACCTGACCCTGAGGCTGGTGACCCGGGGGACTCAGCCCAGAGTCGACTTTGTGGGGGACTTCACCTCTTTCAGACTGGGTAAGAAAGACACGGACATGTCCATCCATTCCACAGATGCTTAGCGTCTTACAAAAAATCCTGATCTCCTAAAATCAGAAAATAACGAAATATATAAATGTATAAAATACCCACTGGCTTGGATCATATGCATTCTACCACTCAGATGAAACAGGCAGCTCTTACATTAATCAGCCTTTATAGCATCACAGATTTAAAATGTTTTGATGAATTTTTGTTCCATTTATCAAGCGCATATTTGTGAGTAGCGCAATATTCCACTGATGGTTTTGCGTATTTCACAAAAAAACTTTGCACCAGCAAAATGCAGGGAAGAAGAATACTCAGAATCAGAATCAGAATCAGAAATACTTTAATAATCCCAGGGGGGATACTGCTAACTAGCAAACATTGGTGTAAACAAATCCGTTTGGAAAATGCTTTATGAGGTTGGAAATGCATTCAGCATGTTTGTTACCACTCGAAAATAACTTTTTCTTTTTGCTTTAAATCACAATCAGTGAGACTCTTAAGCTCCACCCACAGCTGTAATATTTTAATGGCTGACTCAGATCCTTCCTCTCTTGCCCCAGCCCCTAATTGTTGTCTCCCTCTTTAGGTTTTAACCAATCAGAGTGCAGCAGTGAACCATATTTCACCTGCAGGAATGGGAAGTGTATCCCACTGAGTCTGGTGTGTGACGATAAAGGCATTGACAACTGTGGGGATGGAAGTGACTTGGAGGAGAACCTGACTACAGGTTGTAAAGGTCAGTTGATGATGATTGAAGTCCCCCTACAGTGTGCTGTATGAATGCTGTATGTACAGAGTTTGACTCTAGAACTATGTTTTCACATTCATCCACTGAAAGTGGAAAGTTTCTCTGTGCTCATTAAAAATCAGATTTAAAGGGCGGGGCCTACCAGCATGATTTGTGA